CTTCGGGTTCTCTTACAGGTGTGCATATCCCCTCGTTCTCCAGGAACCTAGTTGGTGTCGGCTGCCTCCAGGACCTTGGCGTCACCACTACGTTCCCTGGCCACGAGCGGTATGCTGTCTGTACCGAGGCCGCCACCGGTGCCCCCCTGTCCACGTTCCCCCGGGACCCGGTGTCCGGCCTGTTCACTCTGGACACCGCGACCCCCCCGGCTGGAGCGCCCCCTCAGGTGGCTGCGTCTACCCAGGTTGTTGCTGCCTGCTCCTGTCGCTCCCTCACTCACCCGACCCTCCTGTGGCACCACCGCCTAGGTCACCCTGCGCTCCCGCGTCTGCGTCACATGTCCCAGCACGGTCTCGTCCTTGGTCTCCCAGGTTCGCTCCCCGCGTTTCCCTCCTCTCCAGCCCCACCTTGCACGCCTTGTGTCGAGGGTCGGCTTCGCCGTGCCCCTCACTCCTCCTCGTTTCCCCCTACCGCCGCGCCGCTGCAGACCCTGCACCTGGACGTCTGGGCCCCCCCCCCGTCCCTGGGCCGCGTCGAGAGCGCTACTTCCTTGTGCTTGTCGACGACTTCACTCGTTACACCACAGTCTTTCCACTGGAGTGCAAGGCCGACGTGCCTGGCGCTCTCATCCCCTGGCTTGTCTCTGCGCGTGTCCACCGCGGTCTCCCTGTCTTGCGTCTTCACTCAGACCGTGGTGGCGAGTTTGCCTCCGGTGTCCTTGGTAGCTTTTGTCGTGCGGAGGGCATCACCCAGACGTTCACCCTACCGGACTCCCCACAGCAGAATGGGGTCGCTGAGCGACGCATCGGTTTGGTCATGGAGGTCGCTCGCACCTCCATGATCCATGCCGGTGCACCCCATTTTCTGTGGCCGTTCGCTGTGCGCTACGCTTCTCACCAGCTTAACCTGTGGCCGCACCCTCAGCAGCCGCAGGTTTCGCCGACCCGTCTTTGGACTGGGTCTCTTGGTGACGCGTCTGCGTTCCACGTCTGGGGCTGCCTTGCTCACGTCCGTGCCTCCGGCACGGACAAGCTCACTGCCCGCACCCTTCCCTGCGTCTTCCTCGGTTTTCCCCTTGACGCGTCCGACTGGCACTTTTACCACCCGCCGTCTCACCGCTTCTTTCACTCTCGTGACGTCACCTTTGACGGGTCCATCTCCTACTACCGCCGCTTTCCCCACCGTGGTCCCCCGGTTACCCCCCCCCTGTTCCTCGTCACCCCTTACCCGGTAGTCCCTGCCCCTCCTCCTCCTCCTCCCCGTCCCGCCCCCTCTGGTGTGTCCCACGTCACCCCCCTTCCGTCCGTGGACCCGGTTGAGGAGTCTTCTGACTCTGGTGGCCCTCCTGTGCAGTCCTCGCCGGCCGCCCCTCCCCAGGTGTCCCCTCCCCGGTCCCCTCCTCCACCGCCACTACCGCTGCTGCAGCCGTCGTCGTCGTCGCCGCCGCCGCCGCCGCCGTCGCCTCCGCCGCCGCTGCCGCCGCCGTCGCAGCCCCCGTTCGCTGACTCTGGGGGTGCTCGTCCCGGTCGCCCTGGGGGTGGTCCCTCTGGGGGTGCTGGTGTGGAGAGTGCCGGTGGTAGCCGAGGAGCAGCTTGCGGTCCAGGTGTCGCCGTTGTGTCGCCGCAGCAGCGGTCCCCGCCGGTGTCCGCCCTTCGCCTGCTCGGCCTTCCGTCACCCGACCCTACGTCTGTTCCTCCCCGGCCGTCTCCTCCTCTTCCTGTCTACGGCCCTGTTTTTCCTCCGCCGGTCTCGTCCCCGGCTCGTCTCCCCCCTCGTTCCCCTCCTGTGTCCCCTCCCCTGTCTCCTGACCCGACTCCTCCGTCGCACGTCTGGTCTCACCGCCCCTCCCGTGCTCGTCCTGCCTCGCCTGTCTTGCGCTCCCACCCTATGTTGCTTCGTTCCCACGCGTCTCGTCCTCCCCTTCTCCCGTCGCCTCCTCCGTCCTCCCTTGTTGTTGCGCCCCCCCCGCTGTCCGACTACCTTCGTGCCGCTCGTCCTCTCGTTCCTCGGGTCCTTGCCTCTCTCGTTACCCACCCGTCTGTTCCGGTCTCGTGCCTTGACGCTCTTGTCGCTGCTGTCGCTGACTTCGCCTCTACCCGCCGCCTTGACTACGCCACCGCTCTGGTCTCTGACCCTGCCTGTCCTCCGTCTGTCGGGGGTGCTCCTGCCCTTGGCAGTGACGTCCTGGAGGACCGCCAGTTCGAGCTTGCTTTCCTCTCCGAGGCTGCTCCCCATCTCTGTTCCATGCTGCTAATCCCTGAGGGTGACCCAGACGCTTTCGATATCCCGACCCCTCGCACTTACGCTGAGGCGACTTCGGGACCCTGGGCCTCGCAGTGGATAGCTGCCATGGAGCAGGAGATGGCATCTTGGAGATCCACCGGCACCTTCGTCGACGCAGTTCCCCCGCCTGGGGTGAACGTAGTCGATGGCCGCTGGCTCTTCAAGGTGAAGCGCCCTCCTGGAGAGCCGCCTGTCTTCAAGGCGCGCTATGTGGCTAGAGGCTTCAGTCAGCGCGAGGGGGTGGACTTCTGAGGAGTGTAGACCACAGGCTCTCCGCTCCAGTGTCTGAGGAGTTGGTAGAGCCCAGCGGCCCCTACGCAGAGCTGGTGGGTTGCCTCATGTACCTGATGACTTGCACTCGCCCAGATCTCGCATACCCTCTCAGCATCCTGGCGCGCTTTGTGGCCACAGGCAGACACCGACCGCAGCACTGGTCTGCCGCTAAGAGGGTTCTGCATTATCTTGCTAGTACATCGGGCATGGGGTTAGTGCTAGGAGGACGCAGGCCAGTGGTCCTTACTGGACACACAGACGCTTCGTGGGCAGACGACGCCGAGACACTCAGGTCTACCCAGGGCTACTGCTTCAGCCTTGGCTCAGGTGCCGTCTCGTGGAGAGCTACCCGCTCCTCGTCTGGGGCGCAGTCCAGCTGTGAGGCTGAGATCTACGCTGGTGCCATGGCGGCACAGGAGCTCCGCTGGCTGACCTTCTTGCTCACTGACTTAGGTGAGCGGCCTAGCTCTGCCCCGGTCCTGTTCGCTGACAACAGGGCCATGATCCTCCTGTGTCAGGAGCCTCGACTCGAGGGCAGAGCGAAGCACATTCAGCTGCGGTACTTCCTCCTGCGTGAGCTACAGCAGCGACGTCAGGCTCGCGTAGTACACTTGGCCTCAGGTGCCAACACAGCTGATATCTTTACGAAGGCGCTTGCGCCTAAAGATCATCAGCGGCACTGTGTACAGCTTGGTCTAGTTCCTGTTGCTTCTCACTTGCTAGGACCTTGACCTGTACTGTCCTTTATATGTATACTCAGACTGGACTTGTGTCCTCTCCCAATGGCTGGACTAGTAGTGCCGCCCTGGTCTTGTTCTTGCCTTGTCTGTACTCCTTCTGACTGGTCTCTCAGACCCTTGTCTCAGAGGTTGGACTAGTAGTGCCGCCCTGAGCTGCTTGTTTAGGGTATTCCCCTATGCAGTCTAGGGGGTGTGTCAAACATCTGTATTTGTCATGTTTGTATAGACTGTATAGGGTTACCACTTAGAGGGTACAACACTTAGGTATATTTGTTCAAATTATATAAGTTATAATTTAATATAGGCTTGGTAGGTTGTTACTGAACCTTTCTGTAGGGGGTACAAACCCCTCCTTGTACTCCCCTCTCTTCTAATCCAACCCTCTTTTCTCTCCTCAACTTTCCTAGCACCTAAAACCTCTCGCCATTCTCATGGCTCCTCCTAGCTCCTAGCTAAACCTTGTGCCATTCTATGGCTTCCTAGCTAAGCTAGTTTCTGACATGGTATTAGAGCAGTTCGTTCCGTGTGGGCCTGCTCCTCGCGTTTCCGCTGCGTGCTCGTTTCTCTCTCTATCTCGCGCTGCCATGGCGGCCGCGTCAAGCTGCTGTGGCCGCGTCGTCGTGCCGCGGCGCCGCCGTCGACGTCCATGGCGCCCGCGTCCAGCTGCTGTGGCCGCGCCGTCGTGCCGCAGCTCCGCCGTCGCGTCAAGATGCTGTCGCGACGTGACGGCGCCGTCACGCTGCCGCGGCGTCTACGCGACAGCGCGCGGTCGGCGTAACGGCGACGTCGTGCTGCCGTCGCAACGTCGACGCCCCGCTGCGGCATCGACGCCGCTCCATGATGGCGTCGTCGGGCTGCAGCCGGCCGCGTGACGCTTGTGGCGCCGCTAGACCGGCCGCCCGCATGTCAGCCTGTGGCGCCCCCCCCCCCCCCACCCCCCTCCTTCCCCTGTGCCCTCTTCCATTCCGCAGACGACGGCTGACTCCCGCCGGCCGTCCCACCGTCGCGGGGCCTGGCCACGTCACCGAGAGGTGCGGGTGCCGCCGCCGCTGCCGCTGTTGTCGAAGCCGCCGCCGCCGCCGCTGTCGCCGCTTGCGTCCGGGCCACGCAGCCGCACGCCGCCGCCGCCGCCGCTGTCGCCGCTTGCGTCGGGGCCACGCAGCCGCACGCCGCCGCCGCCGCCGCTGTCGACACTGCCGCCGCTGCTGCCGTCGCCGCCGCAGCCCCTGCAGTCGACGTCGCCGCCTCACGCACCGTGGGTCGACCGACCTAGAGTCGCTGTCACTGTGGCTGGAATGGGGGTGCTAGGTTAGGGGGTGTGGGTGTGTGTGGGCATGTGACTACCAAGCCTAGGGGGTGTGTTCAAATTATATAAGTTATAATTTAATATAGGCTTGGTAGGTTGTTACTGAACCTTTCTGTAGGGGGTACAAACCCCTCCTTGTACTCCCCTCTCTTCTAATCCAACCCTCTTTTCTCTCCTCAACTTTCCTAGCACCTAAAACCTCTCGCCATTCTCATGGCTCCTCCTAGCTCCTAGCTAAACCTTGTGCCATTCTATGGCTTCCTAGCTAAGCTAGTTTCTGACAATATTTGTGTGTACTCTCACTTTACCGATCATTCAATTCCAATTCTAATAGTGTTTCCCGTGTGTGACTCTGGTTGTACGTCCTGGACCCTGAAAAAATCAGACTCGCTGAGTTCTGGACCCTGACATTTCAGACTACAAAAATTTCGGCTGAAGGCCCTTCAGACTATTTTTTTTTTGGGGGGGGTTGGCTCAGAGTGCCTTTTTTTGAAACGTCAGCCCTGCTCACTAGTTTCACAATTCCTACTGAAACCGTATCATAACCATGGTTTTTTCCTAGAAATTACTGTACATGCTGTTACACCCTTGGTTAAGGGAGATGCCGCTATGCTCCATGCCGACCTTGTGAGGCACTGCTGCCGACCTTCATCTCAATCAGCGACTGTGTGTGGGGGCGAGGGGGAGTATGCAGCGCGTAAGGGAAGCAAGGACATTAGTATGAGAAGGTTTTTTTCAGAGAGCAGCGAGATGCCTCTCAGCTTCATGCCAGCCCTGCGCAGACTGCTGCCACCCACACGTGGATCAGCACCTATGCAGCGGGCAGGGGGCAGGGGGGAGTACGGGGGCAAGTGAGGGCAGAGAGAGAGGGATGAAAGCATGGGGATTAGCGCAAGAGGGCCGAGTAGGAGCAGCCGCACAGCTTCATGCCTGTCTTGCCAGGCTCTGGCGCCACCCACACCCACCCAAGGGCAAGTAGGGCAAGGGGGGACAATCGGATCAGAGCCTGCCATAGGGGGCAAGGCAGAGTGTGGGGCCAAGGGGAGATGCGTGGGAAAGGCGAAGCATGGAGAGAGTGAGCGGAGGCATGGGGAGTGGGCAGCACATGCTTTCTAGGTGTAAGTCAACACTGGATCCCGTATCACCGATACACCCACAAACCCCGGTAACCCATTGCCCACACAAGAACCCACCCACCACCCCTCCACGCACCTCCCTGATCTTCACCCCTTCTTCGCTCCTCTCCAGCACCCCCACCCTCGCCCGCATCTCATCCATCGCCTCCGTCACTCCACCCACCTCAGCTGCACCCCCTGCTGTGCGCCCACACCGTGTCTCTCCCTCTGCACCTCACCCCCTGCTGCACCCGCCACCCCGCCTCTCCCCCCCTCAACCTCATCCCCTGCTGTGCCCATACCATACCTCCCCTCCTGCCCCTCCTCCTCCCACTCCCCTCGCCCCGCCACCTGATCGACTACATCCGCACCCTCCCAGTCCACATAGGGCATCTCCCTTGCGCTCCCTTCCTCCTGCTTCAGCCGCTTTCTTCGATCCCCATACTCCGCCTCTCCCTCCTCCTCCTCCTCCTCCGTCCCATATACACCCGCCCTTTCATTCCCTGCCTCTTCCCCCACCCCCTCTCCCCTCGCTCCCACTTCCCTCACCCCCCCTTCCCTCACCCCCTCTTCCCTCACCCCCTCTTCCCTCACCCCTTCTCCCACCACTCCCATCCCTCCCTCCTCCACCACCGCCTCTGCCTTGACCGCCATGATGCGCCTCCCACTCCGCCTCCCCACGTCCTCCTCGCACCCCTCCTCCACCTTCACCCGTCTCTCTTGCGCCCGTTCGCCTGCCAGGCCCTGGAGAGGCGCCTGCTGTCCCGCCAGACCCTGGGGTGACGGCTGCCGTCCCGCCTGGCCGTGGAGTGGCGGCTCCCGCCGTTCCGCCAATCCATTCCTTCCCGCTTCCGCCTGCGCCAGCACCGCTTTCACCGCCGCCGTCTCCCTCGCTTGCCGCTCCACCGCGCCCCTCAACCGCGCCACCTCGTCCCTCGCCTCCCGCCTCGCCCCTTCCACCTGCGCCCTCACCTCCGCCATGTCCCTCTCCCCCCCCGCGATGGCGCCCATCAGCAGCGCTATCTTCTCCCCCACGTCCACCCACTCGTCCCTCGCCTCCCGCCTCGCCGCCTCCACCTGCGCCCGCACATCCGCCATCTCCCGCTCCCGCCTCTCCAGCACGCCCATCAGCAGCGCATCCATCCTCCCCTTGCCGTCGCTCGCCTCCTCCTTCTCGTCCCTCCGCCTCGCTTCCTCCACCTGCGCCGCCAGCGCTCCCACGTGCCACAGCACCTCGCCCCTCAAGCCTGTCATCCGCTCCGCTATAAGCTCTTCCATCTCCTCCCGTAGTAAGCTAGTACTGCCCCCCGCTACTACCACACCTCCGCCTGCGTGAATCCCCTCTGTTCCGTTTGATTCGTTCCCCGTCTTCTCTTCCCCCTCCCCCGTCTTCTCTTCCCCCGTCTGCTCTCCCCTCGTTTCATCTTCCCCCGTCTGCTCTCCCCTCGTTTCATCTTCCCCCGTCTGCTCTCCCCTCGTTTCATCTTCCCTCGTCTGCTCTCCCATCGTCTGCACTTCCCTCCTCTCCTCTCCCCTCGTTTCATCTCCCCTCGTCTGCTCTCCCCCCGTCGCAGCCCTTCTCAAATCGCGAATCTCTCGTCGCAGCGCGCTCGTCGCGTCGGCTTGCGCCCTCAGCCGCGCGCTCAGCTCCTCCACGCGCCCGCCCATCCACGCGCCCACCTCGTCCACCCGCGCGTCCACCCGCGCGCCCATCCACGCGCACATATCGTCCACCCGTGCACCCATCCGCGCGCCCATCTCGTCCACGCGGGCCCCCATCCGCGCGCCCATGTCTTCCACGCGCGCGCTCATGAGCCTCACGGCGATCTCGACAAGATGCACCTTGAGATCGATCCCCGTCAGCGGCACTGCCAGTGGCACTGCCGGCCGCGCCTCTTCATCTCCAACCACCGCCGCCATGCCGATCGTCGATGTTGCTCGCGGAGTGTCGCACCGTAGCTAGCTTTACTGAGGTTACAGTTAGTAATGGTGGGAACCGAGTTCAGATCCTGATGCTGGTGTTTCCTCCTCTGCCAGATCTGCCTGCAATTCTAGCAGGCTGGGGGAAGGGAAAATGGTTGGCTGGGGTAGAGGCAAGCTCGGTGACGTGATGCTGGTGCAGTAGCAAACTACACGTGAACACGCGAACACGCGAACGACCGTTAACGAAGGCTCGGCGCATCTGAGCGCGAAAATGGGAGTGTGTTATGATTTAGAAGATGTCAATGAATAATAACGGGAGAATACAATGTCACTATTGAAATGAAAGCATGAGGTTAAATAGGGGTTGGCGTACTAGGGCGATAACCTCGGGACGTGAGCAGGTTCGGCAATGTGGCGACAGTGTCGGACGCGACTCGGGAAAAGGTTGGGCCGAAAATGAAGGCCGAACCAGGGCCTATTTTATCAGAGTAATTTACTCTGTTTCTCTGAAAATCAGAGTCGTTTTTGAAAACTACTCTAGGGGCCCTGAGTAGAAATTTTGAACTTCAATTTTACTCTGATTTTTCAGAGTTAACTTTTGTACCACTCTGAGGGTCAGTGAATAGGGGGGATACCTGCAGATTTTTCATATAACCCCCTGTAACTAGCCATACCCCTGTATCCCGCGGAACGTGTCATTTCACGCGCACTGACAAAATCACCGGTCCGTGCTCGAGGTTGTGTGAGGGGGCTGATTGGGCCTTAACCAAAATCACCATGCCATGTGTGCTGGAAGGCGTGTGAGGGCGCAAATTGGCCCTTCATCACATCTGGGGTCGAGCAAGATGGGTTGTTTACTGTGTGAGGGCGTCGTGGGCCCTTCACCAGATTTACACATGTGCTTGCGGGGCTGTTTGCGGGAAATCCCACCCGTCGCTACCAAGCATTGCTCCGTGTTTCGCGGCATCTCTAGCGTGCTACGGTCCACCCGAGCGTCGCATACCTCCACTGTCGCTGCCATTACAGCCTTTGACAGTACCGAGAGACCTAGTAGCCGGAGCTCTGCTAATGGGGGGCGCTCGTTAAAGTCGATATTTTTCCACACCGGAGCGCAGCATGGTGAGGGACGCCCTGCAGAGAGCGCAACGTGCCGCAGCCCCCACAACAGCCACTGGCTCCACGTCAGAACATGATAATGGCGAAGCGAGAGGACGGATGGGGAGGAGGGCTGCAAGGGCAGCAATCGACGGCTGGAAATCGCGTCAGCGCGCAGTCGCAACAGCAGGAACGGTCGAGATCACGGCAAGGGCAGCAGCCATTTGGGCTGCCGCGAAAACAGGGGCCGGCCGACCAGCAGCAGCACCCACCGCAGCATCCGCCGCAGCATCCGCCGCTGCAGCAGCAAGTGCAGCTGCAAGATTGCCGTTTTCTCCCCACATGCGCATTTCGCTGTTTTTTTTCGCCACTCTGCAACAGAGTTACTTAGAAATCCCCTCTGAACTGTCAGTGTAAATGTTGTAGAGAGAAAAAAAACCCTGGAAAATCAGAGAAAACATTGGGGGTCACTCTGATTTTCAGAGTAATGAAAAAAACCACTCCCAAATTTCAGAGTTGTAAAAATCCAAAAATAGGCCCTGGGCCGAACGTGACGAGTCGAGGTTTTCGGGTGTACGCAGTAGCGGACGACTCAGTAAGAAATGGAAATTCCTTACACTACCCCACCATCCTAAACGAGTCCTCGGGCATCGGAAACATTCCGACGGTGGTTGTACGCTGTTAGAATCGAATGTGATTCTAGCTTAGCGAGCGACACCCAGCTGTCATCTTCTAACGTGCGATCGCACCAGCGTACGAGAAAATCTACCATCCGACGGTTCAGCTGCGTCGTGATTCGATGGCCGAGAATTTTCAAGGGTTCGGTCGTCGGTTCCTGCAGGGCCGTCAGCTGCAGTACTCCGCGTTGGCGTGCCAATTCCGACGAACTTGGGACGTAAGGCCGTAAGAGGCTGACGTGGAAAGCCGGGTGGTGACGCCAATCAGCCGGAAGTCGAAGGTGTGCAGTGACAGGTGTCACCATATTTGTCACTTGGAAAGGTCCGCAGAATCTGGGTCGGAGCTTGCTCGGGATCGGCAGCCGCAAATTGCGAGTGTCGAGTAGGACGAGATCTCCCACTTTGTAAGTGACGTCACGTCGATGGCGATCAGCTTGTCGGCTTGCGACCAGGTTGGCTTTCCGGATGGCCTCAGCTGCTTTGTCTCGAGCGGCGAGTATGTCTTCAGCAAATTTCTGGGACCGGGGCACAGGTGTCTCGATGTTCGGTGTAGAAGGTACCACAGGGTCCTGCCCGTAGTTGAGGAAAAATGGGGACTGATGGGTTGTGGCGGAGGGCGCGTTGTTATACGCGAATTCCAGTAGCGGAAGGGATTTCTCCCATGTATGTGGGTCAGTACAGATAGTTCGAATTAGTTGCTCCATGGTTTGGTTGACTCGTTCGGCCTGCCCGTCAATCTGTGGGTGGTAGGCGGAGGAAAACTCGAGTTTGGTGCCGAATTGGTCCCACAGGTGGCGCCAGAAATTCGATGTGAATTTCGGGTCTCGGTCTGAAATGATGGTGAAGGGCAGTCCGTGCACTCCGATGACGTTCGTGATGAACAACTGCGCTGTTTGTTCGGTTGTGATGGTCTGTTGGCAGGCGATGAAGTGCGCCATTTTCGTGAGGCGGTCAACGACCACGAGGATGGCGTCGTTTCCGCTAGGACCGGCCGGAGGTCCTGTCACGTAGTCCATCGTGACGTGTTGCCAGGGTCGTGCGGGCGGATCCAACGGCTGTAGGAGTCTGGCTACTCGCTGATGCGACAATTTCATAATCTGGCAGGCAGTGCAGAAGGACACGTACTTGCGCACGTCATTGGCCATGTTCGGCCAGTAATAATTCCGCTGCAGCATCTTCATAGTTTTGTCGACGCTGAAATGCCCGGAGGGTTGTCGTGGGATTCCTGGATTAGCAGGGTACGAAGTAAGTCGTAGCCGGGCACCCAGATTCGAGAAGTATCGCGCTTATTAAAATAAGGTCCGGTAGCGGTGGTATGCTGTTAATGAATAGTCGAGCGGAAGAAAGGATGGATCTTGTAGCCGTGGGTAAATAGTCCTGTAAGGAGTGGGTTGGTCTGGGCAATCAGGATAGCGGCTGTATGGGCAGTGGGTCGAGTTAGGGCATCGGCGATATTGTTGGCGCCCCGTTTGTAGGTGATGGTGTAGTGGAAATTTGACTCGAGGAAATTGAGCCATCGGATTTGTCGCGGGTTGAGATTCGGCTGGGCTCGCAGGTACTAGAGGGATTTGTGGTCGGTCTGCACGGTGACGTCAGCATCTGTCAGGTAGCATCGCCAGGTCTTGAACGCGTGGACGATCGCCAACATTTCCTTGTCGTGGACTGTATAAATTTTCTCTGCGCCCTGCAGCTTCCGTGATTCGTAGGCGACCGGCTGTAATCCGTCGCCGAAATCCTGTAGGAGGACTGCGCCGATGGCGATGTCGCTGGCGTCGGTGATGACTTCGTATGGACGGTCAGGTTCGGAGATGCGAAGGACGGGCGGCGACGTGAGGGCGATTTTGAGTTGGTCGAATGCAGCTTGCTACTTCTCTCCCCACCAAACACAATCGTGATCCTTGAGTTGGTCAGTTAGCGTGGTAGATAACCCAGCCATATCGGGGATAAATCGGCGGACGTAGTTGACGAACCCAAAAAAACTCTGCAGCTCCTTGATGTTGGTCGGCGGCTTCCATTCCTGTATGGTCTTGACTTTTTTCGGGCCGATTTTCACTCATTCGGTAGAAACTATGTGGCCCAGAAACTCCAACTCCCGGTTATGAAAGTCGCACTTAGAACCTTTAGTGATGAGGCGATTCTTGTGCAGCAGCGTGAAGACTGCATCAAGATCTTTTAAGTGCTGCTCCCTGCTGCGGCTGTAGATTAGTATGTCGTCGAGGTAGATGATGATGCATTTATCCAGGAGTTCCCTGAAAATTCCGTTCATGATCATTTGGAACGTCGAGGGCGCGTTGTGAGGCCAAAAGGCATCACCAGGTACGCGTAACTGCCATAGCGGGTTCGAAATGCCGTTTTGTGACAATCCTCTGCGGCGACGCAAATCTGATGGCAACCTCCTCGCAAGTCGATTTTTGAGAAGAACTTGGTGTTGCGAAGTTGGTCGAGGAGTTTGTCGGCTCGCGGGATTGGGTAATGCGACTTGATGGTGATGCGGTTGAGCGCGCGGTAGTCGATGCACATTCGGAATCCGCCATCTTTTTTCGGCGTGAACAGTATCGGGGCGGCGTATGGTGACGTGCTGGGCCGAATAAATCCTTTCGTCAAGGCAATTCTTTGAGTTCTGGTTGGCTGAGCCGAAATTGTCGCTGCACCGTCGGTTGGGCGCCTGGTTCCAGCTCGATGCGGTGGTCTTGTGGTCGACTCGGCGGAAGTCCAGCTGGCAGATTGTATGGGAAAATCTCGGGGTATTTTTGAATCAGGTCCCCTAAATCCGGAGGGACGGCTTCGCACAGCTTCGCTATATCTTCGGCCGTGGTCGGCAACGTCACCTCGCGAAGATCGACGGCGTACGCTGCAGCTCCCACTTTTATCGCGCGCTTGAAAGCGATCGCGTGGACTTGGGTACTTCGCATGCGGGGTCCCGTCCATTTCGGTAGGTCGCAGTAGATCCCTTCGATTTTGATGCTGCAGCTGCCCGTCGTCCAGTCGATCCTCGGGTTGTACTGTCGCAGCCAATCGCGTCCCAGCAGCACGTTGCATCCGTTGAGAGTAGTCGCCAGTAGTCCCATTCGAAATTTTACATGCTCCCCACAGCTGAATCCAACGTTCTCCACTCGTTCCCGTATTGCCAGTGGTGTTCCATCCACCAGTCGGGCGTCGATTTCAGGTAGACACTTGAGCAAGGGAATACCCAATTTTTTAGCCCTGTCCAGCTGTATGAGACTGTGACTCGCGCCTCCATCCACAAAAATCTTCAGCAACACCCCGTTGACTTAACCCTCCTCCAGCACACGGTGATCAGCAGTTTCGTCCCCCTTATTCGTCCGGGTCCGGTCGATTGCAGCAATCGGGATCACGACCCAGTGGGGACTGTGTGGCTCGAGCGAAGAAGCCTGCCCGTCTGTAAGGGGCCCGGTACTTACTGACGCGACCCATTTCCCGGTCGCTCCTCCGGCTTCTTCCCCATAGAATTCAGTAGGGCTATAAATTCTTGGCAGTTGCGTTTGATGTGACCCGGCCGGCCACAGTGGTAGCATAGCCCTGTATTGCGCGGAGCAACTGCGTAAATATCCACTGCGTCCACCCCTTTTATCGTGCCGCACTGGTACTGTTCTCGAAGTCGACCTCCGTCGTAGAAGTTCATCCTCGGCTTCGTGATCGAATCAGCGGCTTCGGCGAGTTGGATAAAGTCTTGTAACCATTTTGCAGGGCGTTGCAGTTTTATCTGGTACTGTATTTCAGGCTTCAGGCCGTCCATGTGCATGTCGACCTTCTCCAACTCGTGCATGTAGCCACACCTGTCCACCAACGTCAAGAATGACGCGGTGTATTCGGACACAGATCCCAACTGCTTCCACATGCGTAGAGTCTCGCGCGCTTTGTCTGAGTCAGGATCATGCTCAAACCGCTTGCGAAGCTCTGCGCACCACGTTGCCCACGTGCGAATGTGGGTCGCATAAAACAACAAGTCTGCCTCGTCTTCGTCGCCGAATTCTTCGGACCACTCATGCTGTCCTTCTGTGCGAGTTGCCGCTGAGTCGACGATGACCTTCCACCACTGTAGGGCGGCCCCTTGCAGCAGTGTCAACGCGTGGCTGATCCGCTACTGATCGTCTCGGATGCCCGCCGCGTTAAAATAGATATTCATGGCGAATATCCACTGCCGCACCGTCACGCCTTTATTAGCTGGGTCGAAAGGAGCGGGTTGCTGATATCTCACGCTGCCACTTGTCGAGCGCGGGGCGGTTGCCGCTAGCCGTGCCAGCTCCACTGGTGTCGGTTGCTGCTCACCCGCCTCGCTTCGTGCATCGTCGCACGGCTCCTTTGAACGCCTTTCCTGCGCCTGGCGAAGTCATTGGTTTTCATCGCGGAGGTTGTTGACGACGCTTGTCAAATCATTCAACTGCTCCATTAATGCTTGTAGGTCCACAGTTTCCCCGGCAGGGTTCGCAGCAGTCGAGGTCGTCTGTTCCTCAACCGTCGAATCTACCGGGGCCATGGCGCTCAGGACGGGGCAGAAGCTAGCGCACACGCTGTAGTTGCTGGCGTAAAAATATTTACGACCCAAGGCAACTGCTGTGCAGCCGTGTTAATCCCCTCTGACCACCCTTAACTAAGTAGTCTAAGAAATGGAAGGTTCCGAGAAAGGTCGGGCTCTGATACCAGCTGTTATGATTTAGAAGATGTCAATGAATAATAATGGGAGAATACAATGTCACTATTGCAATGAAAGCATGAGGTTAAATAGGGGTTGGCGTACTAGGGCGATAACCTCGGGACGTGAGTAGGTTCGGCAATGTGGCGACAGTGCCGGACGCGACTCGGGAAAAGGTTGGGCCGAAAATGAAGGCCGAACGTGACGAGTCGAGGTTTTCGGGTGTACGCGGTAGCGGACGACTCAGTAAGGAATGGAAATTCCTTACAGAGTGCGTGACGCTTCCAAACAAAGCACAGAAGCTTTTCTGTAAGGAATTAATATTCCTTACTGCGCTTAACTACAACGCGTACACCCGTAGACCTCGAACTTGCAGGTTCGGCCTATATTGTCGGCCCAAACCTCCCCGAGTCGCGTTCCGACACCCTCGCCACCCAACCAAACCATCTCACGTCCCGAGGTTCTCGCCCTAGTTCGTCCTAGCACGATCGTGCCCTATTTAGTCAGTTTGCTCGTCACTTGTGGACACATTATTTTCCAAGGTTCTATTCTCATTATTGAGTGGCTGTTCCATTCCCACTCATAACATTTTCCTTCCATCCATCATACCCGCCGTACCAATGCTCAATTTGCTGATGGAACTCAGGTCCAGTGCTACAAGTGAAGCATTGTTATGAGTGGGAATGGAACAGCCACTCAATAATGGAAATGGGACCTAGGAAAATAATGTCTCTACAAGTGACGAGCGAACTGGATAAAATAGGGCAAGGACGTGCTAGGACGAGCTAGGGCAAGGACCTCGGGACATGAATGGTTTGGTTGGGTGTCGAGGGTGTCGGAACGCGATTCGGGGAGGTTTGGGCCGACAATAATGGCCGAACCTGCGAGCTCGGGGTCTTCGGGTGTACGCGCTGTGGTTTAGCGCAGTAAGGAATGTTAATTCCTTACACTCTCCCCCCTTCTAGATAAGGCCTTTTGTATATCGAAGGTCGAATCATTTAAAGTAATCCCCGATGTGACTGTAGGTCTTCAGCACAATGACGAGCGTAATGATTACGCCGTCCGGACGAGGTCTTCAACTCGAAATATGATCGATGGCCAGAAACCGTCGAAACGATCACTTTTAATATTGGTCGTTGAAGATTGTTGAATTCTTCAGTTGACCGAACGGGTACTGGCGAAAACTCCTTTTGAAACTGTAAACAGTCAATCTGGCTGTTGGTGGTGGCGCGTGGCTGAGGAAATATTGTAATGATGACATGAGGGAGGACGTGGCCGATGGTTTGTCGAGACTGGAAGGAACCGTTCATCAAGTCGCGAGGTCGTTCGTGACGCACACAAGCACACGCGCGCGTTCGTGGCTGTGGAAGTCAGCGAATTCCATCAACGAATAGACGAACTTTGACAAGGTAGCGTAACTGACACGCATGGCGGGCGGAGATGGATAATAGAACGTGCCGAAGGGGTCATCAAAAGTTTGCAGCACACCTGCACTTCTCCCCCCCTCCAAGAAGAAACAGCTCCCAACGAGCAAAGTAAAACTCCAGGGTTGTCAAAGCAAACCCACACCGCGGCTGTAAAATTCAGCAACTCTGCGGCGAGGATGCTTGAAAAACTCCAACCGGTAGAACGTCCAAACTGCTCCAAAAGAAAATGTTGCTCCAGGGCAACCGCTTCTGAGGTCCTGAAAATCAGCGACAACTGCTTCAGAAGACTCCAATCAGCTGCAAATATTCTGCACGAGTCAAAACACTGCTGGCAAGCTGACCCCAACACAGCTTCAACAGTGCTGCTGCCATAACTTTTTGAATGGATACTGTACTGCGTTGGCAGATGTCGAATGGCGCAAACGGTCGTGTTTACACAGGCGGGCGAAAGGAGGCGAAGTGAGGATGGAGGTGGTAGCGGGTGTTGGCAAGGGATGGACGACGATGGCGATGGCGCGGAACCAGGATTAGAACACTCCGGTGAACACCTCGAGCCGACCCCAAGGTCAAATGACGCCAGCTGCATCAACTTTGTTGTCCGTACACGCCGAAAATTTCGGCAAGGGTCGAATAACTTCCAATCTAATTTCTCGTCATAAAATAAAAAAAATCCGGGACTGTCGGGCGATGTCGCTCGTACCCCTGAAGATATCAGGTACACTCCAGCTATCAAACTCAGAACTGCTCCACGCGGTTTTATCGGAAACCCAGGGACCGCTGCCCTGAAACCAGCTGCAACATTGCATCGTAAAACCCGTAATCGTCGGAGACGATGCCAAGCTGGGAATATGAAGTGCGACCCTGTGCGTCGGGTAGACTGCACGACATGCCCCCTGAACTTAGCTTCTTCCACAACTCCGTTTCACCGCTACGCAAGTACTCCCAAACTGCTGGTGCTTAACAACTGCGCCGCTGGTTCCCGAAGAATTCCCTGTCTGGCACCGGGCGTTGAGCAGCGCGCCGACTTTCACCCGTCATTGCACCCGCGCGAACACCAAAACAGGTCCTAGGCGTGCCTTGGCAAGTAGCCCCATTAACCAGGGACGACTCCCGAAAGCACCGCCGCACTCCGAAAACTTCGGAAACAGTGTCGAACTCCAGCTGGAACAGTGTTGTCGCAGCTGCCCCGACAATCTCGGCAGGTCATCGCTCACCCAACTCCCCGCTGTTGTCGGTCATACCAGAAACGCACGTGCGCCGAGCGCACACACACACACACACACACACACACACACACACACACACACACACACACACACACACACACACACACACACACACACACACACACACACACACACACACACACACACACACACACACACACACACACACACACACACACACACACACACACACACACACACACACACACATACACGCACACACACATATATATATATATGTGGTACTCCTGCATTTTAACCAGCATGGGTTAACCGCAGCTCTATCCACGTTATTCGTCCAGGACCGTCCGAGTAGTATCAAACCCGAACTTGGAACCTGGTGTGGAAGATGTGAGCCGTTGGAAAGTCTCGGCCAGTAGGTGGCCATTCTGCTACCGCCGCTTAGCCCAACATGGGGGCACTCAGCTTGAGATTTCCACTACGCTGCCCTGCTCTTCCTGAAGTGTCGAAGTTCCCCTCTCGTCCAACCCGGTCTGTTGCATCTCCGTACGTTTTACTGGTAGAAACCCCCGAAAATCGCGAGCACTAAACGATGCACCAGAGACGTTGTTTCCTGGGGCGCTGGCCTGTCTCCAAGGCTGTTTCCCTAGAAAA